TGGCTCAGAGGGCTCCCAGCGTTTCAAGCCAGGCCGGGAGGCTACGCTCAGGTGCTTCAGGAGACTGGGTGGAGGGTGACGACCTCCACTTTGCAACGGATGGTAGCCCTGATGGATCCCAAGTGGTCACTTGGGGCGTGATTGCATTCAGGATCCTGGGGGAGCACATCCAGGTCGTTGGAAGTGCCTCCGGACCAGTGGACTGCGAGCAAACTGTTTTCAGGGCGGAGGCTAAAAAGTAAGCCGTTGCGTACCTGGTGAAAAAGGTCCAGGGAAGCATAGACGTAACCATTGTTAAAGGGGTGAAGCAAGCGACTCAACGGCAACCAGGCTGGAAGTCGGAAGACCTCCTCCAGGATATCAGGGCAGATGCGGCCCGGATTAGCCTCACCTGGATAAACAGCCACCTTACAAGACAGGAGTACTGCGACAAGTTTGGTGCGGACTCCATTTGGAGGTGGCAGGCCAACGCTGCTGTTGACCAGCTGGTGCAGGACAGAGCCAATGAGTGCAGAGACTTGGCCTGGGAGCACCGTGTTCTCATCAAAGATGAGGTGGTCATAAGGGTCAACACCCTGTTGGCCCAAAGGGCTGAGGCAATGTTACAGTACGAGCCACAGGAAGGTCCCCGAGTGACCTTCCAATCAAGCCAGGAAGGGGCGGCCAAGCTCCCTCCGAAGAACCTAGAATCTAGAAAGGGGCCCAAGCAGACCAAGATGAATAAAATCAAGCGCCCCGCCAAGCCAAAACACCAGGAACCTAAACCTGGTGTTGGCAAGCCCAACAAAAGAAGGCAGATGGAGGCAATGCTTGATGGCGCAGGCCCAAACCTGGGGCGCACATGGGTCATTGGGCACAAGTCCAGAGACCAATTGACCATCAAGTGCAGCACGTGTGGCCTGTATGTGGAACAGACGGAGTCTGTGAAGACTTTGACTGAAAGGCCAACCACCATTGTTTGCTCCAAGGTCCTGCTTTTCGCATGAGTGCCCATGGGTCCCATCGCATGGTCAATGGTGGTAAGGCGTGGCTCTGCACGTGCTGTGGCATGAAGCAATGGGTGGCACATGACACACTCAGCACTGTTCTTGGCAAGGAATGCCGCCAACGATACTAGGGCAAAGACCCTTGGGTGAAGGAGATCATTCAGAAAGCGGCGCCAAAAACTGGGTTCTTCCAGCTGCCACCCGCTGCTCATCCTGTCCCTAGGCTCCACCCTCTGCCTGAGCCCCAGTCTGCAAGCCTGGAAACAACACCAGCCTTGAGGCCGCTGTGGCAACTGTTGAAGAAGCAGGTGGACTACCTGCTAGGTCTGAGGCTTCGAGTGCTAAGAACCCTAGGGCTAGTGAAACCAGTGGTAGGCTCAGGAGTATGCAAGGTTTGGCCTCGTCCGGTGCCCCAGGTCCCAAGACCAAACCCAAAGCCAAAGCAAAATCCCAAACCAAGGGTGAAGGAAAGCAAACCAAACTCAGGTTTTAGCCTGGTGACTTTTCTCCCCGCGCAGCTCTGGCTTAAGATGGCTGGAGAAGCCCCAGCGGAAGCCATGCAAGTGGTGGCCATGCCAAAGGAGCTTTTTTAGAAGGCAACGGCAAAGAAGGCAAGGGCAAAGAGCCTGGAGGCAAAGGCCAAGGTGCTGCCCAAAAGGGCAAGCAGCGCAAAGGCGATGAGAAAGGAGGCAAAGCCAGGACCCCCCAACAAGTAAGGCCTCATACTTTGGCGGCAAGGGTCAGGGCAAAGGCCTTTTCGAAGGAGGTAAGGGCCAAGGCAAAACCAAGGAAGCTCCGGGCCCTGTGCAAGCCAAGACGCCTCCGCCGCCGCCGGCACGAAAGCGGGAAAGCCTTGCAGCCCTGGAGGTGGTTTGAGGTGGTGGGTCAAAGCAAAAGCGGCCCCCAATGAGGAGTACTCATATTATTTGTCTGAAGAAGCTGGGGCACCTGAGCCACCGGCAAAGGCTGCAGGGCTGGTGGCAAACCAGCCAAAAGCTCCACCAGAGCAGCCACTCTTCTCGCCTACTATCCCGGCAAGCCCTGGTGAGGAAGACCAGGACAAACAAGAGAACAGAGAGGAGTTGGCACGCGCAGCAGAGGCCAAGGCTGAGGAGAACAACAAGGAGGAGATGACCTCCAAGTCAGAGCCCTCTCAGGAGGCTCCACCAGTGGCCCCCTCGCCGTCAACAGGGTCAAACAGCACTGAAAGCCCTGGTGACAACCAGGCCAGTAAGGGTCAAGCAGGAGGCGCCGGAGGCTCTTCCCACCCCAGCACCCATGCCGGGGATCGACTGGTCGAAACCAGTCAAGCTCTGGGCCACCCTGAAGCCAACAAAGCAGAAAGCCTTGGAAGCGAGGTTCCCGGAAATGGTGTGGCTGGTGTTTACCAGCCTAAACCAGGACCAGCTGACGGTTGATTGTCCTGTGCAAGGCTTCCAACCCTAGGGTGACTTTTGTTGCCCCCAAGCTCAGGGTCTTCATGCGTGAAGATAGGGACAGAGCAGTCCCACGGGAATGAACCCTGTTTCAAGGATGGGGGCTTTGTGCTCCGAGACGGGAAACTTCAAGGCCCGGTGGAAGCAATCCTGACAACTCCAGCCAAGGCTGTTGCCTTTCCGTGAGGAACCAGCCCTGGTTTGGTCAACCTTCTTAGCGGCCACCTCGATGTCCAGGTTCACGGACATAAGAGACTTTGGAGCTGACAACTGGGGGCTGAGGTTGGTCGCTGGTCGCTCAGTAAACCAGGTGCTCATGGTAGACAGTGGATGCTGGGATCTTCCAGGACACCTCTCCTTCCCGGGAGGTTGGAAAGCTGGGCAGTGGTGGAAGCTGTTCGAGCGGGTGTGTCCTCATGGACGATGCCAAACAGCTGGTGAGCCAGCATGCCAAATCCTTGGCTGTCCTTTTCGAGGAAATCATCCACCTCATGCGCCAGGCCCTGGAGCCCGACCAGTACAAAGACGTCATGAACAACATGGGCGCGCTCACTTTGAGCCCGCTTGGAAGAGCTGGATTCTGTATGCCAGAGACCCGGATGACAGAAGACACCAACCCAGTGTCCTGGAAACTGGTGGATCTGCAAATTCCGGGTTTCCCAAACTGGTGGACAGGCCAGTTGCAGTGACCAACCAGCCAGGCTGGTGGGGCAACCAGTGGACAGGTGCTACCAGTCAGAGTAGCTACCAGTCGGCTCAGCTGTTGGGCCCCTTTTTCTGGCCTACAAAGGCTCCACCGTGCTACAAAGCTTGGCTGCTAGAAACCAGTTTCGACTGGGGTAAGCTCTAGCTTTGTTTCACCTGAAGCCGAAGGCAGCGTGACTCTCCGCCAACAGAGAAAGAATTTTCATGCCTACTTTGGATGTCCTGATGTCACGGCATGGCATGTCGGAAGCTGTTAAGAGTGCTTTTGAGTTAGGTCTGTGACTGCACGTTCGNNTCGTTCGTTTTGCACTGGAGTGTTTTCTGCTTGGAGACAGCCTACGGCAGAGTGTTTCAAGTGTTTCACTTCAGTAGAGAGCCTGACGCTTCGCTTGCGCGACTCTGCTTTGGCTCAAGAAAAAGACCGAGCTGCTTGCTCTGTTTTTCACAGCTATGGGTGGGTAGGCCTGTCGAACCACTGGTAGGCCCGCAAGGGCAAAAAAGCCTCAGAAGCCGGCGAGTGCTGGTTTTCGAGAGGCCTGCGAGCTGCTCGGCGGCACTGCGCTGCCAAAAAAGCCTCAGAAGCCTGCAAGTGCCGGTTTGCGAGTCGCAGGCGTGCGAAGTGGTGGGTGGGGGCCCCCTTAAAGCCTTTTGAAGGCTCTTTGCAAGCACTTCTGAGCCCCCAAGATCGCTTGAGCTACTGGCTCTAGGCCCGAGAATCGACAGTGCTTCTAAGTAGCGAATTCTGACCTACGGCCAAGCTCGGCAACCTGGTGGGCTTGGCCGTGCCGCAGAGGGCGCTGCGGGCTCTGAGGGGTTGGGCTTGCCTCGGGCGCGACTTGAACTTCTGCATGCCCCATTTCACGGCCGTGCCGCGGAGGGCGCTGGGGCTCTGGGTGGGGGATCTGAGGGGTTGGCTTTCCATTGGGTGCCGTCCCACTTACGGCCAAGCAGGCCCTGAGTGCACTGAGGGGTTGGGCTTGTTGCGCACGAATTGAACTTACTGCATACCCGAAATACTATACGGCCAAGCTACAGCGGGTTTGGCCGTGCCGCGGAGGGCGCTGAGGGCCCTGAGGGGTTGGCCTTGCTGGCGGAGCTGACGTGGCTCGGAGGGTGCCGAAGCGGGTTGGGAGAAGTTGGAGCGCAACGGCTGAGGCAGGCGGTACGTGTACGGTGTCCGTCCCAAAAGAGCTGTGGAAGGCGTACATAGTGCCCTTTATAGGAACCCTACAAGGCCATCAGGTACCCCCCACTTTTCGGAACCTTCCACATGGGTGTAGTACGGAACTTCTGGATGAGTGGATGCTTGGAATTCCGTGTGTAGAGCTTCATCATGTATCAGGGTTTAGGGGGAGCATTTCTTTAGCGTTTAGGGTTTAAGTGTGCTGGGCTTTGGGTTTGGATTTAAAGGTTCACCCCCGCTGAACCATAGAATTTGTCTCCAGGGGTTTCGTGGCTGCAGAGGAGGCCCGCCTTTCAGTCGCATTGTGGGTATTCGGGTGTAGGGTTTAGTATTTCTGTAATCGTGGGTTCTCTTCATAACAAGTGCTCACCACTTTTCTGAGCCATGGTGCGCGTGTGGTCTAATCAGTCGCCCGCGGCTTACGAAGAAGCACAGAAGATGGGAGCCTTTAGAGCATCTCCGAAGCATTTGGAGAACGATTTCCCCAACCCAGATTCTTACAGTTTCATGGCGCGAGAATTAGAGAAGCGCGTGGGGCCCTGCCCGCCGGAAGTTGTTGAAACCTGGAAGGAAAGGGGAGGCTCCGGTACTCCATCACCAGTTTGGGTCTGGCTTCAGTACAAAAGCCGTGAGAAACCTGCGTATGAGCCAAATGCAGGCTGTTGTGGAAGACGGAGTGTTTGCATCGAGGCAGAGATCAGTCGTGGAGATATCCTTGGCAGTCAGTTTGGAGCTTTCCACCATGTCTTGAACGATGTGATGCTAGCTGTCACGGAGGAAGAAGATGACGAGTTGGCGAAGCTGAAAGACACGCAGCCTGAACGCTGGCGCGAGTTGAAAGTGCAATCCTGGCAGCACATCTTCGATCTAGACTGGCACGGAGAGGAGTACAACCTTCAAAGAGCAGAAAATGCCGAGATCCAAGGCGTGCTGTGGCAGCTCCCCATCACTGCCGTGCAACGTGCACGTCGCATCATCGAGATCGGACAGTCGCGTGGAACCGAGGGAGCCGAAGTAGACTACTCAGGCGTCACTGTGGGGGAAGACGTGCAACTCCGGGCCGAATGGATCTCGGATCGTGGCTACAACCCACCCCTTCACTTGCGTGTCACCGTCACGTCTGTGACAAGCAGCGGCCTTGCTGAAGCACTGGGTGTGCGTGCAGGCTGGACGGTTGCGTGCATTTTGACCGCAGTAGACGATGAGGACCCCTTGCCATTGCTCGTGAAGCAGGACGGCGTCCATGTGTCCGGCAAGATGTATCCTAAGAAACAGCCGCCACCAGCAGCCGAGCTATTGAAGCAATTGCAGGGACTGCGAGGAGTGCAGGTCTTCTTTGAGGGTTTGAGGGAATCAGGCTCTTCAGACTCTTCGGGTTCGGATTCGGGTCAAGAGATCTACGATGAGTCCCAGCAGATACCGGAGATATCCCAAAGTGCGAGCTCCAGCGACTGCGACTGAAATGAGCTTGCTCAGAAATGGACCGAGGAAGCACTGAAAGACAGAAGCAGCGCGCTCTGCCAGGCGAAGAAACATGCCCTTTACAGTTTTACAGGTCTTCGCCATGTGCGCAAAGTCTCGCAAGTTGCGCTTATGAGGAGGGTTCATGTTCGAATCTTGTTGTTCATGTTCGACCAGCCACGTCAAGAGGCCTCTTAGCAGTTTGATGTTGGGAACGAAAGAGTTGCGGAGCTCGGTTACTTTCGCATCATAGCATATTTTGGAGGCCAAGCAACTGCAAATTTATTAGCATAGGTTGTTCTTCTCGGAATTGCACATGTGAGACTTCAGCGTATTCGTTCTGTTTTTGATTGTCGAATTCACGCCTGACACCTTGCTGGTCTCAGTTTTCGGAACGACTTTTGTTTGTGCAACTTGTAATTCGCACGTTTGTCTCAGATACAGCCACCTTGACTTCATATCTTATCTCCGCAGCTTGTACAAATGTTCGAGACAAAGGTTTTCTGACCCTGGACTTGGCCGCCATGGGGGACCGTTTCGTTATGTTGCTTGCTGCTACGTGCACGCAGCAGGTGGAGTTGAGCTTGTTTGATGGATGGCAGGACAATATGTCATGCTCGACGCATTGCGCCCCTAATTGCATCTCGCGGCAGGCCTTTGCATTGCTTGAGTTCATCATGACATGAATCATGGTCCACGGCGAAAGGGATACCGGGAGCTGGACGACGAGACTGCATCAGTTTTTGTAGAAGCAACGAAAAGTCGACAGATGTGCAAGAAGAACATGTCTGAGTTTGAACCCTATGTTGATTGCCAGCCACCTGGACATGATGTTCTTGAAGACCCTCCAAGGCCAGCTGTATGGCGGTTGTTCGGATTGGAAAGTTTGCAATAACAACAACTTTAATTGGACAAGGCTGCAGAGAGAGAGTATGACCATGAGATGGCTAGACAGCAAAATCATTGCAGGAAAAGCGTGGGTCGAACTTATCCGGTGGCCGATCCGGTCGACTTGCAACTCAACTGGCAAACAGCATTGTCCTCAGCCTGTTGACTGTTTTGCTTGTGTTTGCTCCTTAATGATGCTTGGGTTGTGTTGGATTCCACGAGATCGCGGTTCGGCATGCATGGAGAAAAGCGGCCGAGATGGGTGACACTGGCATAGGCCGGATCCGCTGTCATCGCCATCTTCGTGTGTGCACACGAACTGAGCTTCCAGCAAATCGGTAGGTCGACCGGAAGAGGCTTCGATCTTTCAAGTCGCATGCTGTCAGCAGCACAATCTGAACTTGTTGCAGGCGGGGCCGCTCCGGGCGGCAGAGCCGGTCAAAGCCAACGCAGCGGAGGTCAGTGGATATATATATATATACACACATGTATGTATATATATATATACATATATATATATATATGTATTAAATTGAACATGCAGATGCAACGCATGTGGACTGTTTCGCAAAGGCGGACGATGCGCCCGGGCGAGGCCGGGCCTGTCTTGAGAGCGTTAAACAGGGGTGAGGAGAGGTGCTGTGCTATCGTGAGATGGAGGCATTGACGTTGTCAAGATTTGAGGGGGGCATTCTTCCGCTTCTTCTGACAGAACAGATGAAATAAAACGAACGGTACTGTCACACAAGAAAGCATCCACATGCATTGGTGAGCGTACATGTGCTCGCACATGACCGACAAGAGCTCGTTGAATGTAGCCTTGTCGGAGGTGCTTTTTCAAGATGCAGCCACGTAAATGCTAGCATGTCTTGCACCTTTCAGATTTTCGATCGCAGCCTCGGTTTGAGAAAGACGAGTCGAGCAAGTGTTTCACAAAGCTCGCCGCAGCATTGCGATCTTGCCAATGCCTGCAGGATTGCCTTGAGTTTCTGCTCGAAGCAGGACTCAGAGAGTCAGCTTAGCCATTGCGGAGTACTCATTGGCCAGAGTGTCTGGGCCGGTGGATGCCCCGAGTAATTCGAAGGATGTTGTCCAGACCGCTGGCAGCTGCAAAGTGCCCAAGCCTGGCTGATGCAGTTGATCTTGATCACGGGGATGTCGTAGCCCGGCTGCAAGGAATGGCAAGGGAGTTTGTGGTCCGTGCTTGATGCTGTGTTTTGGCTCGTGCCTAGTGACATAGAGTAACAGTGGAAGCACGAGAGCATGCAACGTAGAAGCAGCAACCGGATCCCACCCTTCACAGAGTCACCGACCTGATCGCGAAGCACATGGAAGTTCCATCGATTATACTTTGAGTAGCTGGTTCATGGCGCCGATGAAGCATCATTCATGTCGCAACCTTGATGAGCAGACATTTCAATATGTTCGAGCTGATCTGTGTTGGGGAACGGGGCCACAATGGCGGGATGATGATTCAGTTGAGTGATGTCGATGATCGTACGGCTACTGATGATGATCGGACGACAATGATGATCATTCTGATTGTGATGATGGCCATGGTGAAAAGGCTTGCGGTTCTGATGTAGGAGAAGAGGAAGACGACGATGATGGCAATGCTTGTTTCGAGGTTTGTGATGGTGATTATGATGGTGGTGCTGATGAGCACTTGTGTTGTGCTGTTGCAGGTGATGCTGCTCAGGATGCTGCGCCGGATGCCAATGATGATGGTGATGATGTTGATGATGATGTTGATAATGAGGATGATGACGATAGCTGCCTTCTCCTTTTTTCTGTAATGCAGTGCCGACTGAGGCTGAACTCTGAAGAGGCCGTCCCTGATGCGCCGTGCATGCAGCATGGTACTGCCGATACAGAACACTTGTGCAGGAAAGTGATGTTGGAGACAGGGTGCCTTTGCAAGACCTGCTGCAGCCTTGTTGTATGTGCTTGGCTGCAATGCGATTGCAGTGCAAGGCATGTGTTCTCGCTGCGAAGTAGTCCAAAGTCAAGCGTGCTTTCTCAACGCTGGGTGCACAGGCCCGGAATATTTGCATCTGCTTTCACGGCAAAGGAGTCGGCAATTCCTGGCAGCACCTGTGCTCAACGTGCTGACTTCTGGACTTGCAGGAGACGGGTCATGTCGACTCCATCATGTCCAGGCTTGAGACGATGAGCTCGGAGGACCGTGTCAAGCTAGAGGTGATACGCTTGATGAAGTCGCACGCTCGAGAAGCTGTCCGTGTTGAGGACTGGCAGCGGCTTCTCAGGACTGGCAGGGTGCTCGGAAGCTTCAAGGCAAGTGGTCAAGATTGCCCGTTTAACTCCCATAACACGGTCGACTCAGGTCTTGGCTGCCATGATGTTCTCCTCATGGTCCACACAGTGGCGATAGCCTCATTCGGCTTCATTTGCAGTGTGGATGTGGGAAGCTGCTCGGATGGTGCCAGGTTCTGCAGGGCAGGCGAGACGCACGCTGGAAGGACGGTTTACAAAATGAACGCGTGCGTAGAGCAATGCAAGTGAACGTCAGATGACGTGCAGGACGAGGGGAGCACTGCTCTCGAACTTCTTGGCGACTACCTGGACCTCGTCGTGGTATCCACCCACTGTAGCGAAAGGATGATTGAGGTCTACCCTATGCCTGGCATTGATTCAGGTACCTATGGTACTGAAGCGAACGACTTTGAGGGAAGAAGCAATGCAATGTCCTTGTGGACGCTGCAGCAACGCTCTGCAGGCTGGTGCCCATCATGGCGAGCTCATGCCAACAGTCATAGGGGGCCGTGTTTTTGAAAGAACGCCCCACCTCGCAAGCCCGATTGGTCCTGCTGCTGCCCTGAATACCACGTGTTTCACATGGCATGGTCTGAAAGCCAGGCGATTCACCACTTACAAGACAGATCGATCCTCACGCACCTGCACGAGGTGCCCTTCGGTTCGGGTCGAGTGCAACTTCTTGTTGGTGGTTGCATCTTGCGCATCTTACGAGCTTCCTCAAGCGCGGCACGTGCTGCATGTGCATGCTTGCAAAGCGACAAGCCCAAGCATGGGTCACGAGATCGTTTTCGACATGTCCTACCACCAGCAGACGAGTTGACCCCAGATTCGGGAACGTTTCGAGCTCTGCAGCAAGAGCAGACATCAGCTTCAATGTGCTGAGATGGACAAGGACAGCTCGTCGGAGTTCTGCACAGTAGGGCTCTGGCTCCTAGTTTGGCTTGTACCCGCAGGATCAAAAGCTCATCACATTTCTGGACAGCCTAGGCTGGTGAGCTCTTGGACCTTGTGTGTGCGTCTGTGCTTTGCAGAAATATCGGTGTGGCAGAGGTCCGGACGCAGATGTCGATTTTGCACAGCAGCTTCTCGAGTCTCACAGCTGGGACCTGCAGGCTTTGAGTCTTCTTTCGACCTATGAGAACCCAATAACGGTCCCTGCAGGCAGCTCTTGAGACGGTCACAGGCGGAAGGGGGCAAACGGCCACTTGGCTTCTCGTTGGTGCGTGGCAGCGTTACCTCCTGTACCATGTGTGACCCCGGCCCCCTGCTGCTGAGGCCGTCTCTCCTGCAGAGGTGCTACTTATCCGGCCCTGCAGTATTACGGTATCTGCTTCCATCAAATGTTGTAGCCTCGAAGGTGCCGCTGCAGACAGATGAGGCGAGACCGCCAATGAGAACCGGCAGCCAACTGAGAATTTTCCGAAAGCTCGGAATGATCATGTCTCCGTCTGGCAACAGCCCGAGGCTATGTGGACAGGCTCATCCATTCTCACGAGGAGGTTGGGGTTTCATGTCGCATAGCCCTTCACAGCCGCATGAAGTTGGCAGAGCCGTTTCTATAGTTCTCGATAGAACTGTCCGCAGCAGGATGATGAAGCCATTGCGATGGCCCAATCAGCAGCAGCTGCAGCTGATGAAGCTTCCGCGAGGCCTCTAGGTTCGGACGAGAGACGTTCCGAGTTGCCATATCCGAAAGGCTAGATCTTGAGAGAGCACTCCTGGAAAGTCAGCAAGCCTTCGAGCAGCAGGCCGAGATTGAGGCGCTATGGGCACCACCAAATCGGATTTTGATTCGGTGATGCCTGCTTGCAGGAGCAAGCCGCCCTGGCGCAAGCACTTGAAGCGTCCTATGCCAGAGTCCCAAGTTGGCATCTGCCTGTCGCTGCCGAAGCTGGATATCAGCGCTCAGGCCGCTGTCAGCCCCAAGCACGCGAACACCAGCACTCCATCGAGGCAGTGGGGCGCCAAAAACTGGTCCGGCGATGTGCGCTGCACTGCAGATCACTGCAGGAGCCCGGGCGCAGCGACCGCCGAGCGGCATGTAGGCAGTCGACTAGTAGTCGTAGCGCCCGTCGCTTGATCCAATGCAGCACAAGTCCCTTCACTCGTCTCAGCTGTACAGGTCAACGTGACCTTCGGCCGGATGTGGAGCAAAGCAGGCATGGAGCAAAGAACACATTGCAGTCCTACTTCAAGTTATTTGGCAATCTTGACAGGACCTCAGGGTTATCAAAACTGCGCTGCTCCCCCTCGCACCTGAGGCTGTCCAGCGCCTCGCGACCAGGAGCAACAAGGACTGGTATTCTGGTGTTGACTGGTGATGTGCTGCAATCTGCTCACGCTGTAGCTGCTTTCGCAGGTTTCGCTTGCAGCCCAGATCCTCTTCTTCCGCATCCACCTTGGAATTCCGGCGGCACTTGTCAACTTCTGCTTCTTCTGGGCTGTGTGTGCTTTCAGGTGTCCAGTGCACAAACTGCCGATGCGCCACCAGCCCGGCCTGTTCGTCCTCCAGTCAGTCAGGCCACGTGTGGTGCAGTGAAGGGCTGAGATCTGATCGTTTTTTTCGGAAGTCCAGGCGAAGCCACCTCCGGTGCGATGCCCGGGGGGATAAGCTTGATTCTCGTGAATCTCATGCAGCCGGCTTCAGCGACCAGAGCTTTGAGGTTGTTCCGGCGACTTCGCAAAGGGCACCCAAAGAACTGCCGACGAAAGCGCTTCACGAGACGAAGGCTTCATCCACACCAAAGCTACAGCCCTCTGCGAAACCCAGGCCAGCTCAGAGCATGCAGCAGCCAGCATCTCGACAGCAGCATCCGAACCAGAAAATGAAGGCCGGATGAAGCGTGTTGTGTTGAGGTTGAGGGAAAGCTTTGGAGTCTTGACATGAAGACTTGGAAGACTTGTTTCGTATGTCTTGCAGCCTCTAGAGCCCTGTATTGGACCTTGGCAGACGCGAGGCCTTTGCTCGTGTAGGTCCCTCTGCAGACAGGCCTGTGGTGAGAAATTGCTTCCCCCCTCCAGGCAGAAGCGGTCACGAATGACCGAAGACCGAATCTGGCAAGCCGTTGCTTGAGCAGATTCTGTTCTTCCAGCAAAGATTCCACAAAGGATTCAAGCACAGAGGCTGCACGCAAGCCGGTGAAGGAGGCGCACTCCACACCGAAGAAGGTCGAGGTGGCTCGCAAGGACAAAACGGAGCCAGCGAAGCAGCCGAAGCTGGCAACGTCGGCAGCACCGCTGGCAGCTGCGCCGGCCTCTTCCCAGGGCAGTGTGGCGACTCCAAAGGCCTGGGACCCGAAATGAGCTGGCAGAAAGTGCGAAGACCCAAAGACGCAACGTGCTCTGACTGCACCAGGCCGAGTCTGAAGCCGCCATGCCTTCGGTGCCTTGAGCCGCAAATGGAGCTCCTCTTAATTCTGCCCGAGAGGGGTAAAGATCGCGGATCAGGCCACAGTTGCTGACCGTTTCGCGGCACGTGAAGAGTCTGAGCTGCGCCGAGAACGGGAGGAGGCTGCATGCATCGTGTTTTAAGCCCCCTTGGCTTCTGGCGCATGAAGTCGCTGACTCGATGATGGCAGGCAGAGCTTAAGCGAAAGGAAGCGGAGGATGGTCTGCTTGTGCTTTCTTGCTGTCTTTTGTTGCACTGTTCGCTATGCCCGCTATGCACTGCTGGAGTGAAGAAGTGGTCGGACGAAGCTTCTCAGGGGCCCTGATGTATGCCGAACCGGACTGTAACCAGCTGAGCAGTTTTGTCGCGAAGCTGCAAGGGTTTCTATTGATGCTCAAAGTTTGTCCCTCTACCCTAAACGTGGGACCAACTTCCATCCAGTCCCTTGGCAAACGAGAAAAAACCTCCGTTCATGTATGCAGGGTCTCTGTTGTCGCGCGGAAGTCTGATCCAGACAGGGTGGCGCCGTCCGGGAGCCGGATCCTGTAGTCAATGCCCTGCAGGTCGGGCTTGGACACACAAACGTAGATTATCATCCGAGTTCGAGCACATGGAAGGCCCTGCGACGACAGCACTTGAAGCGAGATCCGGTGGCCCTCGCTACCTGCTTGCCAACGCCTTGGAGACTGTCCTATCTCAGCTGCAGCCATTCACAGAAATAGCTGCTCGAGGCAGACCCTCCATGCCTACATCAGCAACCTAGCCAAGAACCCACAGGAGAAGCGAGCAACATGTGGGCTGATTCAGCACACTCTCAGCAAGAGCTCGAGTCGCTTTGACGCGATTGCGCATGCTGTTTGTCTTTGTGCACCTGCAGCGAGGAGTCGAAGTTTCATTCCATCAACTGCGGGGAGCCTGTGCCGGGACGGAGCGCGACATGCGGTGACTGCGCTCCGCGCCCAGGCCAGAACAGCAACTTTCGCTCCAGAGTTGCAGCGCTTGAGGGAGGCATCGAGGTGCTCCAGGCCGTACGGCGCGCGCTCGCAGAGTTTCGTTGCCCTTCTTTTTGGCACGATCCGACCCGAGGCATGCGGTTTCGTGGCAGTGGACGAGAAGCTCTGTGCAGTGGCCCTGAGACGGCGCTCCTATCCGACACCCCTTTCCGGAGCCCATCGGCGCCTTCTCAGGTCGATCCTGACTTCATGAAGTCCAAAGGTCCAAAGCTCTGGGATGCCTTGAGCAAGGCTTTCATGGCTCGAGCGGCATCGCTCTTTTGGTCTGTGGCCCCTACTTGGCTTTCCTGGCAGGTGGCCGTTCTCTTGGAGCAAGTGAAAAGTTGCATGTGATGCACGTGAGTTTTGATAGCCGGAGGCAAAGTCCTGGCATAGTGTGGGAAAGGAGCATGCAACGCAAGGAGAGCAGACACCAACCCCAACTCGTTGCAGATCCAGACCCGGGATTGCTTGTGCATAGTTGTGGCATCTCGTACAGAATGCCTTTGCGGGAATGAAGCAAGGATGCCATGCGCCATCGCCGCGAGCAGATGATCCTGCCAGATCTTGCGGGCTTCACTCCAGAGCCTACGCTACACTCTACTTTACTGTACTCTACTGTACCATGTGATGAAATATGATTCTCTACTAGACTGCACTAGACTATGCTAGACTAGACCATACTCCACTGATCTATCTACTCTGCTCGACCCTGCTTTCGTCTTTCGTGGTTCATTGATGAATTTCCAGGCCGATGCCTCGTCCTTCCTGGGCTTCCATCTCGAAGAGGCACAGCTGTTGGTTTTAGAGCTCAGGGTCTTCTTGGCACATTTGGCACTTCAAAGAAAGGCCCAGGTCGAGGCTGAGAGGGAAAACCTGTTGGAGGGGTGATATTTCTTTCGTTGATCTTGGACTAACTTTGTGAGTGTTAGGGCGAGGGTCAATGTTCAACGTTCTCTTCTACCGCCAGCGCCAGAAGCACAGGGAACAATTGTGGATGGTAGTTCTTGTGCATTCCAGGCAGCCACATCCCTCTTCTCGGGCGCAGAGTCGCCGGGAGCCTGTGATTGCGGTGGTCCGTGCGAGGCACTGACTGCAGAAAAAGGTCCGACAAGATCTCTGTAGCTGCCGCGGCTGCGGGCAGCCTGGCAGTGCTGGCCGCTTCAGCCAGACTTCAGGACCATCTTGACTTCAGCCGTGTAGACCTGGAGCTTTGCTTGCACCTGGAGACCACATGCAAGATACGATCCGCTGCATTGCTCGGGAAAAGCAGCAGGGCGGGGGTTGATGCCGCCATGGACACGAGCCATCATGGACGATGAAGTCTGCTGTTTGGATGTTCCTGAGCGGCCCGGCAGCATTGAGAACTGGCCTTGATAGCTGTGTTGGTCCTTCTGGACATGCCTTGCTGGTAGGTGGCTGGAACGTCGTGGCTTGCCGGTCATTGCGTCAACTCTTCGCACTGCGGGGGCTCTCTGCCATGTGCAGGAGGGCGTGCCACAGCAATGCTCTGCTTCGGGGCAGTGGGCTGAGGGGTGGAAGTTTTTTTGGGAAGGACCCCAGCAGTTAGCCCCCGGTTGAGGCCTTAGGGGCCAATGAGCGGTGCATTGCTGGCAGGAGGACGATTTAGTTTCTCTTGGAGTCTCTCACCGACTTCATCGTCGACGCGTGCTGCGCGAGCTTGAGCTGTGGCAAGTTCTCCGAGGTTCAGGAACAGGAAAATCTCGAAGTCCATCTGAAACCGAAGAGCGCACGCCCGGCCTGAAGTCGAAGGCTTCTTCGAGCTCTTTGACAGAGCCAGCAAGCTTGTCCGGACACCGTGACGCCGTGGCCCACGATCGGTCTTGCAAGGGGCGGGGAAGTGCGAGTCGGGAGTCAACTCGACCGCCATCGTCGTCCAGTCTGCCGCTGTCAAATGATAGCGGACTGCCGGCAGCATCAGCTCTGAAGAGCATTGACAAGGACCCGCAGCAGGCAGCAAACGTTCTTCCAACATACGCCTTGCACAAAGATGAAAGTGTGGATCCGCGGGGACTGTCTGGGAAGAACGCGCGTCTCAGCAGACGTTGTGTGGAGCTACGACATCAGCTCTCCCTGGAACGACAGAATCGAAGCATGGCCGCCTCCGAGAATCAGTTCAGAGTCCTGCGCCTGAGCCGGGAGTGCGACTCGCTGCAGGAGGACCTGCGCAACTCACAGACCCACCTCTGCCCGAGCCTGCGCCAAAAAAAACCTAAGCGACTGCAGAAGCGAACTGCAGGAGCTCAGGGAGGCGCACCGCCTCCGACGAGCCCACGAACGTGAAAGCCCTTCGGCAAACAAAGGAGGAAGGGAGGGAGAGAGGCAGAATACGCAGTTGCCATCGGATTGCTGCAATTTCTCTTTTGCAAACGCGCATCACCACTCACCCCGAGCAAGCACGACGAGTGCACGGTGTGCCAGAAACAATGCGCTTGATGAAATGAGGTCGAACACTTCGGGCTCGTCTGCGACTCATGCAGCTTGGACACCAGCGACAGTGGTGAGAAGCATTTTTACAAAGTGTGCTAGCAAGATGCTGAAGCTGTTTTCTCCACGGTTTTTGCTTTCCTCGTCGCTGACCCTTGCCTCTTCCCACAAGGATCGCGACTGCAAACGCAGACAAAGAATCTGCAACGCCTGAGAGCCGTCAGGTCACAAGTGCCAAAGTAGATGTCTCCAGCCCAGCCTCGAGCTTGTACAGTAGCAGGTCCGCCAGCTTTGTGTGTCTGCAACAGCGTGACGAAGCGCTTCTGATTAGCCTGACGCGTAGAAATTGCATCACTCCAGGAGAACAGCAGCCTCTACACGGTCTCGCCAGGTTCGTGTCTCGGCCTTGTATTTCGAGGCTATTTCCTGGCTTTGCGTGCTCGAGGAGTGGTGCAGTCCTTGGCAGCTGTGCTGCAGCATGCCGCCTCTTTGAGGCATGAGAGCACGTAGCTTGGCCGCACAGAGATTGCGCCAGCGGTTCTCACCTTGATTCGTTCTTCCTGTGCCGAGGCATATTCTTGCGTTGAGCCTGCATGTTCTTCGAAACGTGGCCGGCAACTACCAAGAGGCAGAAAGATGATCATGAATCAAGAGGTGACAGCGAACTGGATGCTGTATGTTCAGGTGATGGACACCAGCGCCGACACTCTTCGGGATTGCTTTCAGCTGCTTTTCGAGAAGGCATGGATCGGCATGGCACACCGAGAGAGTCGACGTACATGTCTGACCTATCGCCAGGACCAGGACGGGTGTTGTGACGGCAATTTGCAGGGAAGACAGGGCACGGACCCGGCTAGAGTCTCAGCAAGGGATGCTGTCCATGCTGCAACACTGCGCACGAGCACTTGGGACTGTAGGGCAGTGTTGCTGTTGCTTTGACAGACACGGGCTCTGAAGGTTAGTCACGTCTAAACAAGAGAACGCCATGGCAAAGAATCGAACAACGTCTTCCTTCTTGCTCTCGGTGTCTGCCGCTTTTGTGGCGGGCTGGCTCTTGCTGGTGACGAATGGAGATGTCTTTGTGAGCCCAGTGCCAACATCGGGTGTCCGGGCAACGGTTCCTTCGTGGCAGGCGAAGCAGGTGGCCACCCTTGCCACCGCCACCGGATCCAGCACGTCGGTTGCTCCGGATCAGAGGCTTTTCAAGACGGCGGCTGCGGCGGCGCTTCTCTGTTTGGCTGCAGCACGCTTGGCAAAGGGGAGGTTTCAGAAGCCTTCGGTGGCCCGCCGAGCCGTGGTCACACTCAACGCTACAACCGAGAAGAACCTCTATGAATTCGAGGAGCCTGTGGCACCCATCTTCACGGAAACCCCTGTGGTTCAAGAGGCTCAAAGCATTCCCATGCTTCCGGAGTTGATCTCTTTGAACGAGACGCCGTCCCTCGCAGTTCTGAACTGCGTCGACTCACAATCTGTCGCTGCAGCAGCAACGGCGGTCGCACCTGCAACGACAACATCTGGCTCCTGCCTTTGCGGCAGCCCTGCCTCGGCAAGATTTGCGGCAGGCTCTCGCCATGCACAGCCCCGTCGCCGGACGTCTCGACGAGCTTCCAAAGCCAGCCGGCGAGCAGTCGGCCGTCACCTCTGCGAGCGAGTGGTGACACTGAGCTCGCCGCCTTGCTTCGATGCCAGCAAGACCCGCACCAAGATCCAGCTGGGGCTCCGTGTGTCGTCCTGCATGCGCTCTGAGTCGGGCCGTGAGTCGAAGTTGTCCTCGGGTGTCGAAGGGTCAGAAATGGGCACATGCCTTAACTTTGTAGCACATGATTTAAAGGTATACATGCTAGATCATGGTTCTGCGCTGATTGCTGTTAGTTCTGACCAAGAGTTGGAGCTTCGAGCTCAGCTGCTCCGGAAGCATGGGACGTGACGCTACGGACCGAGAGTGGCAAGGGTGGCGGCCGCGGTTGACTGCCTTTGCAAAACGCTCTCCAGATGGCCCAAGGCCCACGAAGCCATGCTCCACACCCTCCCTGCCAAAACAATGAGTAGATATCCGAGCGGGGCTAGGCTATGCAGGAGTGCTGTGGGTGTTGGCAAGGTGAGGGGATATAGGCTGAGTAGGTCTCGGCATGGACGCTACTTGGCTAAGCTTGCGACAGTACAATGCATAGTACCAGAAGAAGAGGTCACTGAATTTGTGGATTTGTTGTCTCATTGAGGTGGGTTGTCGCAAGCCCTTCATCCCAAAGTACACAATGTACTATGAAACAGTTTTCTTGGCAAGTGGACAGCATGTTGCGTACCAGGTGCATATGCTCAGAGATTCATCAGCCAAAGTAAGAGCATTTTCTGGCGATGCAACCTGTCTGCCTGCAGCGGCACTTTGGAAGCAATCCGAATTTGCTGGAACATGACAAGTGAAGCCAGCTCACAGTAACAAAAAAGGCTAGGCAGCTTCCATATGAGCCTTCGCAGCCCCCGGTGATACTTTTGAACGTCACCCCCGCTTTCCAGGGCTGCTCATATAGAGATGGTGGATGTTGCGTCTGCATTGCGGACAAAAGAGCTCCTTCCTGTTCTGTCGGCCTGCAGTGTACAAGCGTAGGTGAAGCAAACTGCATCTTCATTCCGCCTGGATGTTAGGTCTGCTCCAAGAGCGCGGAAACCGGGTGGGGCTGCCATGTGATGTAGAATCAAAACGTCCAGGCTAAGCCAAGTGCCCTGTTCAGGAACCCTCAAGAAAGCGATGAATGTGCATCGGCAGAGGCTGGTGCTGACAAGCTAGAGGGCTATGATGTGCGAATCATCCCGTTTATCATGATGCCGAAGGGGCTGCGTGCCAAAGATCCGGATGCACTCAAGGAGGCAGTTCTGGCCATCCCATGCAGAAGGCTCCGCCGCTGCTTTAACACAGAGACTGACCCTCGGCGAGGTGCAGATGCCCGTTCGCAGTTTCAGGCTCGTATCGACGGAGTTTTTGGTCGTTGCCCTGTGGGCTGCCCGTGTTATGGAATGCCGCGATACGCAAGGTCCAGCGAGCGACTTGGGCTGTTGTCTGTGCTTTTGCAGGCAGGTGCTACGGTTGATGATATAAATCCTGCACTACCCATAATAAGGAATAACCCATGATTCGCATGGTTTAGGGCCCTTGAGGTAATGCAGGATTTCTATCATCAACAGTATCTTGATTGGCAGAGATGTTATACTATACTATACTATAATAGAATATAGTATGCTATACTATACTATAATATACTATAACATTTGAGTTCTCAGCCTGTTTCCGCTGTCAGGCACTCTTCCAGTCCCAGGATGCCTTGCAAAGCCTAAGTATCTCTGAAGAGGAGATTCGACAGGAGGCGCCAGTGTTGTGAAGTGTGGGTTTAGGGTTTTAGGGCTAGGTCTGCAGGTGTTGTGAAGTTTGGATGATTTTGGATGCACTTTCAGCAGGTTACGGCATCCGAAGCTTTTGCTTGCTCAGCAGGTCGTCCGCTTGGCCAGCGACTTGCGAGCAGAGCCGCTAAAGAGACCCACCAGGAGATTCACTCTCAGATGGCTTTGATGCCATGCACCGTTTGACTTCAAACAGGATCTCATTCCACGGCATCCAGCTCTATTTGCTTATCTGCAGGCAGGGGGTTCCGTGAACCACAAAGTGTAAGTGCGCTCCGAGCTCCTGGTCTGGCTTTGCAGGTCATCCCATGCGAGACGACAGTGCCCCCCCCATCTTGGCCGTTCCTTGGAGATACCGAGAGGCAAGGCTTGCTCTGCGAGGTACGCGATTCTCGAGCTTCCTGTTCTCGAAGCAGAGCGGCGCACTGTGGCCTTTCTGCTGTCCGGTGCCTCAGTGCCTTGGCTCATTCCGCGCGAGCGATCGTTTGCACAGTTGAGGTCCGCTTCCACCAGTCAGCACTGCGTCTTGCTTCAGGCCATGGCGCAGGACTCCAGACGTCAGAGTCTGCATTGGTGGCTTTGGCCCCCTCTTGTGTTTGTGCCAGGATGTTCATAGCTGGCTGCTGTGGCAGTCGCAGGCCAGTGACAAGTCGGAGCCTCTGGCATCGCTGTGGGCGGCCGCACGTGAGGCCTTCGCGAAGCAGGCCCCGAAGCTGCCGGCTGCCCAGAGCGCTCATAGCACCCAGACCGACCCGAAGCCCCCCCCAAAAAATGCCGTAGCCGAGGCCAAAGGAGGAGATACGAAAGCGGCGATCTCACAAGAGCAAGGCCTCCAGGCCTCGGGAGCGAAGTTGAAGGGAGCTCCGAGCCGCTTCTGCGACTCCGAGAGGCAGCCGCTGGAGGAGCCCAAGGCAAGGCGCAGATTTTGGGTTTTTGAGAAATCTAACCCAAAACCCATACACCCTAAGCCCTAAACCGTAAGACCCCTAAAACCGATATCTTTGGGCCTTCTGCAAAGTGCGAGGCTTCGGCGAACTGTGAGGAGGTGAGCCGAAGAAGCCCTGATGAAGGCCGGGCCAGGGTCCGGCTGGAATCGATTCTTTGCTGTGCTGTTTGTGCTACACTACACTAGACTACAGTCTACTATAAGACACGAAAATATACCATAAACACTATATCATGTTATAGTTCCGTATGCTATGCCATAGACCCTGATCGAAGCAAGGGCATGGTTCTCAGGGATTTTGGTTGCAAAGGAGTCTTTTTGAGGCCAGGGTCCAAGCCCCTTGCTCGGATTCCCGAAGGGCAATCTTGATAGAAGATCTTTTGCGGTATGTCAGCCGAACATGAAGGCAATATGCTGCGACTTGCAATGTGGGGTCAGACCAAGATACCGGTGCGCAGGACGAAGGTAGCTGATTGCACGTGCGACCCAACATCCACGGACACCAACCTACTGGCCTAATGTAGCTGTCGGCGCTCGCACAGAAGCAAAGTGCGTCACCAGGCAGTCCGTCCCCGTCCCCGCGGGTGGGGCTCTTCACCGACGGAGAGGCGTCTTTGTGTCTTTGCTGTGCTCTTCTCTGCCTGTATCTCGGGCTCGGGCCCGTGTTGAGGCAGTTTGGATGGCTCACTCGCTACTGGTGGCTGCCTTTGCTGTATGCCTGCTGGTCTGGAGCTCATGTCTGCAACGTTTGGACTTTGGACGGCCCAGGGCCCGAGTAGATTGGGAGTGTTGGTGGTTCCAGGTATACTGGAGCTCCTTGGAGCATACACCAGCTTCGCAAGTTGCAGGGTGCTCAGTCCAGCACCTTTTCGAGTAGTATATCGTACATAGAAGTTTGCTCCTGTTTTCATGTCCAGGCAGCACGAAATGGTCGGGATCCCGATTCTGATGGAGCTGGTGTTGGCGGGTCCCAATAGTAAACCACGTTACGCTTGTCCCGCCACGTGCAACCAGTCAAACCGAGCTTCACCAGCGGTCACGGAACATGTTTATGTCACGTCGTCGATTGGTGTTGCTTCACGAAGCCGCCAATGCGCATCTGAGGTCAGCTGGCTGGCTACTTGCTGTACTGGAGGTGAACATCCGAAGCACTTTAAGCCAGCCTCGGGCAGTCTTGTCAAAGGGGCCGCGAGTGCAATTCCACGTTCGTGCAGTCGTACAGGGCCAAAGTCGGTTTCATCGCATTGCACTCGATGTTCTCCTTGTACACATGTACGGTTTTATCTTTTCAAGATCAGAGGATGTGCCTTCGAAGCCTAGACTCGCCTCAGGCATGTCCAGATCCACCAGCTAAGCCTTGACTGGACAAAATCGGTCGGCAGGTTCTGCAGGCATGCTCAGCAGTTTGCAGACTCAAGCGCGTGCGAGGGCGAAATGAGTTCCAGAGTCAGCTCTAGGCTGCAGAAGGGGCACAGAAGAGCATATAATATGCACGTTAGGACTGGGTCGTCCTTACCGCTGTCGCCTTTCGAACCAAAGCTCCGCTGGGCCGACCGAGAAATGCGTGGAGCGCCATCAGACAGGGTGGAGACAGCCGTCTGTGGCACGCAGAACCCCCATGTACAGCAACTCGAGATTTGCCCGTGCGTACTCTGCCACGCTAGGTGTACGAGGGCTGAAGAGTTTCACCCAGGGATGCACCACAGCGACGCTCGTGGCAGGGACACCTTCAAAAGGTCTACAGAACAGGGCTTCGTGTGGTGAAGGGAAGCCCGTCAGCTTCAGTAGCTTCGTTTCGGACATCCACTCGTGCTGTCGTCGCAGCCTTTGGCTCCGGTCACAATACCAGATCAAGAGCAGCAAGCTGGCATACAAGTCAAATCAAGACTTCGGGTTAGTTTTGAGCCTCATGGTAGATGCAGGGCAGAAGCTCTCTCTGCCGGCCGTAGGGGCCTCTGTGCAGTCGAGTCGCTTTTCCCGTCAGTGGTCGGGCAGAGCCAAACCCACACCCAGGTCTCTGACACGGATGGTGCTGACGAGGTGGGATTTTGGACTCGTCAGCTGTCTCATTCGTGACAAGTACTGAAAAGCATACTGCTGAAGTTTAGCGTAGAATAAGAAACGCCGTTGCCCAGCCCCTAAACTGCCTAAGCAACTCAACAAAAATCCGTTTTCTTCTGGACCGCAGTTGGAAGCCTGGCTGTGCGAATCGCAGTCTTCGTTGCTGAGCTGCCACACAGCACAGACCTGAGCTCCAATGTTCAAGGCTTCGGAGCTTGTAGGAGAGCTTGCTTGCAGCTTTGCTCATCACAGCCTGAAGAGAAGAAGCGACGAGAGCAGAGGGTTGGCAGCAACCAGCTCAAGAGAAGTGAGAAGATGCAGCGCGGCCAGCATCAATGTTGCAGGCTGCATGCCAGACGGCGGGGATTCATCGAGCCCCTCTTGACGAAGCGATGATTCCTACTGAACCATCACCCTTACCTGCTTTCTCACGAGGTTTGCACCGCATAGCTAGACCTACCCAGAAAGACCAGCACCCTATGCACCTTCGCCTTCGCTAATTGCAGCCGACAGCTAAAGGCTAAGACCTCCGAAATCTGTCCAAGCCGAGGTCGATGCGGCTGGGCGACACCTCGGCGATCAAGCCTTCAGCAGGTCTGGGCTGTCGATACGACGCGCAGATGCGCAGAACACAGCAAATGAATACACTTGAATTCAGACTACCATGCTTGAACACGAGCAGGTTTGTGGCATCATTGCTTAGTACATCAGTTCAGCCGGCGCCTCAAGCCTGTGCTGCCGGAGTGGAGTGTTGCAGCGGCCAAAAAGCGCAGGGTTGAGTTCCCGTGCCCGTCTCAGTCTCAGGTTTGCCAGATCGTCGGCGAATCTGGCACCTGGCGGCCGAAACCTCATGCAATGTATGCATCGGATTCACTCATCGAGCCGGTGTAACTGAGGATGCGGAATTCAATACATGGTGCCTGCCTCACTGCGGGGAAGGCTTGCTGACTTGGGGAGATCCCATTTTCGCATCGAGGATTTGTCTGGCAACTGCTTGACAGACACAGCTGCGGTCTGCGGCTAAGGGCCGTGCCTCGGAATTTCGTCTGCTCCAAACCTGGGCACAAAGGTGGCGTTGGCAGAGTGCTTGACCTGGATGCGAGAGAGTCTCGGAGGTCATATGCTGAGGCCCATTAATCCACACCTGTCAAAGCTGAGGGTGTCACCTCACGGCCTGTTTCTTCGCAGGTCCCTTCGGCTGTCCTGCAACAACATTGGCCCGGCTGGAGCACAGGTCCTCTGGCGTTCCTCAGAGTCTGCATGAGCAGTTTCCGGTGGCCGCGCCTTCTTCGAGGCACTGGCCCTGAGCTTCTTGCCACAGAACGCCACTGATGCAAGTTCGCCGCATCCTGGTCTGCAAGGAGGAAGTAGCGAAGGAAATTCACATCTGTTGTGAAGTTGGGACGCTGGCGTGAGTTGCAGCTTAGGTACCGGCTTGCACTGTCCGAGAACCCGTCGACGGCACAGGGACAGGGGAGCTCGCCCACAAAAGCTCGCATCCACTTTGCTCGTCTGATTCTCTGAGGTTGGGCGACGAGGGTGTGACGCTCGTGGCACATGCGGTTCGAAGAAGACGATCTGCAGCAGCCGTTGCCTCGGGGTCCTTGTGAGTTCGGAGGTCTCCCTCGCAGTGCATTGAGAGGTCCTGGAGCTGAGTAATGTGGGCTGTGGCGCTTCCGGCCGCCTCCTCAGCCTCGCTGTAGGTGAGACCGAGCAAAGTCGAGATGGAAGCCACACGAAGTCCAAAGCCAATACTCAAGCTGAGTCGTGCTAGAACCATCGGCAGACGTTGAGTCGTCCTTCCATTCTGTGTGCACTTCCGCTCAATGCAGAGAAACTGCCAATATCTCGCAAGTCTTTCACAATTTACAGTACACCACACACAGGCTGCGGATCTTTGATTGAAAGCCTTGAGTGGCTGCGGGTGCAGAGCTCGGATGTTTTCCGGAACCATGTCTTGCTGTCTAATATCAACTGAGCCAAGGGCCTGGACCTTTGCCAGTCACTCGAATCCTGCACAGCAACGATCAATTCAGCGGCTGTGGCTTTGTCTACCCAGGCCATAACTCCATTCCTGATGTTGAGCTTGGGAATTTGGCCGAGGACTCAGATCTCGTCGTTTTTTCTCATGGTTATGCCAGTTTTCCTCCAATTGTCCGGCTCCCTCTGCAGTTGCTGTTGCTGCTTCAGTAGGGGTCAGCGACCGGCAATTCCCGAGCGCCCAGGCAGCAAAGCTCCCGGAGTCTCCTGACTTTCGGCTCCCACCTCTCAACACAGGCTGGTGTCGGATAGGAGACTTGCAGATGGTATCTGGGCATCTTGCGTCCCTGGTTGTTGAAGCACAGCTCTGAGAGTCAAGCAGTACCCTGACAGATGCCGTACATCCACAGCCACGGCAAAGCGGATGCGTTGACACAGGTTGGGATTGGGGCGATGAAAGATTCTGGAAGCGGACTACTACTGTTAGCACATGCATAGCGGAGTTGCTGGGTAAGTGGACTTATCGGTTGTTATTCACCTGCACTGGCGGTAAACGTCATGGAAAATGGTAAATGAACTTGCCCAGCTTTTTTTGCCTGTGTGTACTATTTCGTATTGTGTGCACTTTGGTTTTGGGTCGTGAGCGACAAACATGCTCAGCAGCACTGTAACAACGAGGTGCGAATTTTCAACTCAAGCCATGTCTGCGAATTCAAGGGCACTGGTTTGGTTGGAACTGCAAACTTAAGTGCTGCTGCTGTTTCGGGCATCAGGGGTCATTATGGTATCCAGGGTCGTGTCTCGCACAGCAGGGCATTTTGCTCGCTGACAGGGCTACGAGTGCCTCGCCGTTTATGCACCTTCGGTGCCAGACTGCCTTGTCTGTCATGGCCGTGTTATCCAGCTGAAGCAGTTGTTGCCCACCGCGCATCACCGTGGATCTACAGTTCAGCCACAGCCTCGATGCAGGCATGAAGCAAGTTTGCGCGACGGCGGAGATGCCCAAAGAGGTGTGGAGATGGTTTGCCGCAGGGGCAAGCGGCAGCGCTGACAGACAGAGGGAGCTCTTGGATATAACATCAGTGCATGTGGCAGGCTCCACGGTCTGCGGGTGCCCTGCGATCACAAGGGTCACGTGCAGATGCCCGGGACCCAGGCTGAATGCAGGGACGGCGAAATCCGTTGCAACTCTTTTCAGGCGGTGCTTCAGCGTGCTCGCAAAGCGCTGGGCACTCCTAGCCAGACCGCAGCTTCCAGGCCTGGAAGGGTTCGAACCTCCCGCTCCTTTCGGTGCCTTCGGCGCGAGTCCGTTGAGGCCCCTGGCGGTCTCCTGCGACCCTGGCGGGCCTGGCGCGGCAGCTGGCGCGGCAGCTGGCGCGGCAGCCGTAGACTGTGTTGGAGTCGGAGCGCATGCCTACGGCGCAGCTGTGGCGTCTCGAGGGCCCCGGCCCCTCCCTCAGCTCAGCGGTTCAGCGGCTGTGGCCTCTCTTCTTTGTCCCCCTCCCCTCGCAAGGCAGCAAGTCTTGGAAGCCAGTCAGAGGCATGGCATGGTCCCTCTTCGGAGCTTTTGGGACATGCCAATGTCTACAGGACGAGGCTGTCATCGAAGACTTCTACGACCGCACAGGTTCTCTCGGGTTGTTTTCTCACCTACTTCCGGTTGGTTAGTGCATCAATCCGATCCAATTTCTGCGATCACCTGCTTCTCCTCTTTGCCTGAACCCCCTCATGTCTTCGTTGTCCCTTTTGGGCTGCTCAGGCGGTCTTGGACCGTGCTCGCAGCGTGCTGCAGAGGACCGGCAGACTTGCGGGGTCTGTTGCAGTCATGGTTGTGAGCATCCCTGGTGCGCAGGAAGCCTGGGGATGGGCAGAATGCGCTGCTTGTGGCTCCGACCCAGCAAATGGCAATGGCGAGCCACGAGCCCATGCCTTATCCGGGTCCGAGCTCGGCGAGCTCCGCGAGCTCGGGGAGCTCGGGGCCGGCAGGCCCAGGCCAAGGGTCCTGGGGGCCGGGAGGCCAAGGGAGCTCAGAGCTCCAGGTTTCGCAGCAGGAAGCTGCTCTGTCCGGCTCCTTTCGTCCCTCAAGCAGCGAGAGGGAGGCCCTGTCGTATCAGCGCGCGGCGGCTGGCGTCTCGCACCTCCAGAAGGCTCTTCGACACCTGGAAGGCGGCCTGGGGATGGAGCAGCGGGAGCGGGACGAGCCCGAGCCGGTCCTGCGTCCACGTCTCGACCTCAGCGAGCCGGATGCGGAAGCCCTGGCGATGCCGGAACGGATGGTGCTGATGGAGGGAAAAGTGGCAGAAATGCAGGAGGACATGCGACGACTTGAGCACACCGTAACATCACTACAGGCTGAACCGGAGCGGGAGGACGAGATCCGTGAAGATCCGGCATCAAGCGAGGTTTCCGAAACAGATGCAGTGGTCTCCGAGACTGCTGAGGTGACCTCGGCGATGACGACAATGCATCCGGTAACGGACCTGTCAGGTTCTGTGTCCCCTGCCGATCAGGACACACACTCGCCACAGGACAGCCTGCCCGTGCCCACCAAGAAAGGTGGTCCGCCTTTGCCACCAAAAGGCAAGGGGAAGGGCAAGCTTGGAAAAGGTCCTCCACCTCCCACTGTCCCCAAAGCAGACGCACAGGCAGGGGACCAAGCCGGACCCCCACCACCTGCCAAGGGCAAGTCCGCAGGAAAAGGCAAGGGCCCAAAAGGTGGCAAGGGAGGCCCCGGTGCTCCGCCAAAAGGCCCACCTCCCAAAGGTGCAGGGCCTGCAAAGGCCCCCGGCAAGGATCCGGTTCCGAAGGCGGAGTCCAAGGCTCCATTTCTCAAGAAGCTGTACTGGAAGCAGGTGGACATTCAAGATGCGGAAGGGACCATCTTCAGCGAGGAGACGAGAAGCAGGTCAAACACTTGCTCAGCTGCGATTGATTTCACAGCATTGACTCGCATGCTGGAGGCAGAACAGGCCAAGGGCTCCCAGCTGCAACGGCGGTCGTCTGGTGTCCTGAGCAAGGCTCAGCAGCGCAACATCGGGACCAAGGTGTTGAGCGATCACCGAGCACGAAACATTGCCATCGTTCTGAAGCGCCTGCCTCTCTCCACCAAAGACTTGGTCTTGGTCCTGAAGAAGCTGGAGTGGGAGAACGAGAGGATCGGGACAGATGATTTGGAGCAGATTCTGGAGGTCATTCCTACGCAGGAGGAGGCGAAGCATCTACGCGAACACAGCTCAGAGGAGGACTGCAGAAAGCTGCGGGATGTGGAGCAGCTGGTGATGCCACTTGCCTTACTGACCCGGGCTTCGGCCAGGGTCCGAGTCCTTTGCGTGGCTCGAAATGCACGTCTGCAGTTCAAGTCCACGGCGCGGGCTCTCGCCAAGATTCGAGCTGCGTGTTCTGCAATCCAGAAGTCTGGCATGCTGCGGAGTGTCACCATGCTGGCACTGCAGCTGGGCAACTACATCAACCACGGGGACTCGAAGAAAGGTGCGAAGGCCATCGCGATTAGCTCCTTGATGGCCCTCAAGGATTTCAAAGTTGGAGAGATCTCGTCTCTCCACTTCCTTTGTGCCTCGCTGTTGCGCTCCAATCCAAAGCTTGATGCGGCACAAGCTCTCCTGAGAGAGTCGACAGCTCAGGCAGAGCATCGTCCGAGGGAGCTGTCTAGCTATCTCCATCATCACGTCGCGATGGCTGTGCAACAGTGTTTGACCAAGGCTCCAGCCGGCAGAGAGGATCGCCAAGATGCAGGCATCACGCAGCCCCAACGTTGCCATCTCTCTCGCTGCCTTCCAACTTCTGAGATCCGCTGTAGCTGGCAGGTGCAGGGCCTTTCAGCAGCCTTGCGCACTTTCGCCCGAGACCTCGACACCGTCAAAGCTGAATGCGAGCAGCCCAGTTTTGCTTGTGTTCACAGGAGAAGAAGGATGCAGAGCAGAAACCAGGAGCATCGTTAATGCCACATGCCTTGGCGTGCAGGCCAGAATCACCTCCAAGAATACGAAGGCCCCGGAAGAGTGAGTTGCTTGTGCGCTTGCTATGCCTCGTGGCTCCTGCGCTTGCAGGCGAAGAAGGGTGGAAAGCTCAGCATCCTTGCAGCTTTGCCCTTCACCGTGCCGGCCTTCGCTCCACAGGCAATCCACGGAGGATGAAGATGCCAAGGACTCGCGACGCAACTGCTGGGTCAAAGCGGCATGTAGTGCTGGCTTCCCTGCAGGAGTTGGGGGATGCACTGGACGAGGCATTGCACACCCAAACTTAAAACCCCCCAAAACCGGTGACACGCACAGGTCCATGCGATGGCGACCGCAGCAAGCGAAACCGTCGAGTTCAGTCCGAGCAGCCTGCAGCGGCAGGACGAGGATGCGACTCGATGGGTGGAGGCGGGCTATGCGGGCTTCTGGGCTGAAGTGACGAGGGTTTTGGCGGGCTAGACAGCGTTCTGGAGGCTTTGGGATGCTCACTCCATCTTGAGTCTGGAAGGTGTTTTTCAGATTCCTTTGGGGATGTTTGGCTCCACAGCATCGCTTCGAAAGGGACTTTTGGAGTGCTTCGGGGTTTGGCTGCCGGCCGGCTTCTCGTTGTGTGCAAACTTCAGCGATTTGGCTTCTCAGCGGCTCGCTCGATCGGCCTATATCAGCAAGCCAGCGACATGGGACTGACGGACTCGCGAAGTGCAGCTGCGAGCGACTTGACACCCGATACACCCGTGTATCCCTGGCAGTCAAAGGTGGCGGATGCAGCAACAAGTGCTATCGGTTGTGCAGTGGCACACCAGCCGATCGTGCTTGCTCCTTGTGCTGGCTACAGATGTGGCAAGTATCTCGCTCAAGAGGACGTGCAGAATCCAATCTTGAAGAGTGCCAAGCGTGGCTTGAACAAGGTGTGTGAGTCTGTCTGGGCAGCAGAGGATGCAGGATACCTGCATCGTTATCGATTTTGTGGCATTCGGTTCGTTGGAGTCGCTGGGCTGTCACGTTTTCGCGATGCATGTGAAGAACCACAGGCAGAGCTTCAACAGGAGCTGCAAACATGGACTCAGGATGACCTTCAACAAGAGCTTCAAGCATTGCCCCAAGCTGACAGCATCCCGATTCTGTATCAAGCTAAGCTCGAAGGCTCGCGATTCCACATTCATAAGTCGCAAGTTGCAGCATTCCTTCTGGACAATGGGTTTCCGATCATGACCTCGGCAGAACTCGAGGAGCACCTCGGAAGGGAACTTTCCAGCATTCTCCCAGTGCGGCACTGTCGATGTATGGGCAAGTATAGCATTCAGGGGCGAACACAGGTGGCCAGTCTGGGCAAAGATCTTTCGACAAGCTTGAAGCCCGGTGAGTCAATGTTCGAGATTCGAATCGGCGAGCATTTTCATGAGATTTCATGAGTACACGAAGGACCCAAGCAAGTATGAGGACATGTTGAAGGGGTCCATTCTGAAGGCTTTGGGTCTGGATGCCGTGAAGATCCGCGGCATCAAGCGGCACATCAGGATTGAGCAGGTGAAGGAAGGCAGTATCGTCGCATGGGTCGTGGTTGGAGTTGTGGTGCTTGCGGCCGCGGCATTTGTTGGGTACTTCAGCGCAAGAGACGCCAGCCGGGCCGCGCAGCAACCTGCCGGCAATGCCGCGCAGCAACCCACCGGCAATGCCGCGCAGCAACCTGCCGGCAATGCGGCGCAGCAACCCACCGGCAATGCCGCGCAGCAACCTGCCGGCAATGCCACGCAGCAACCTGCCAGCAATGTCGTGCAGCAACCCAGCAGGGTCATGCGAAAACCTCTTCGTCCACCCCGTACAACTCGCGGCAGTTCCTCACAGAATTTTGCTGCCACATCGAGTGAAGTCTTCGTTCTCGTGCCGGATCCATCGCAACATCCTCCCATGATTCGGCGTCAGGTGTCTCAGGTTTCCTTGAGCGCAAGCAGTGATGGCGACTTTGAACTGGTGGGGCACGTAGAGCCTGTACGGAGATGCTACTTGCTCGACACTTTGTTTCAGAAGGACTCTGGTGAGTACATCACAGCCGACAAGCTTGAGGTAAATTCAGAAATCTAGGGAATCTCTGGCCAAAAGATTCAGATCATGTCGAAGAAGAAGTACGGGCGTGCCAAGCAGGACCTGATTACCATGCATACATCGCAGGCCAGCCTCACCATCACGGCAGATCATCGGGTGGCAGGGCCAGATGGACTGCCAACAGAGACGGAAGCTGAGAAGCTGAAGAAGGGCATGTTTGTGTTCTGCGGCCGCCGGAAGCAACAGCTCACTCGCGTCACAAAGTGGGAGAGCCGTGTTGAGGCCGGTTGTGGGCTTTCCCCGTAGTTGCCGTAGGGGCAGTTTATGTAGTGATTCCTCAGTCCTCGTTGCTGTCATCTTTCACCAGGTGGTGGAGCTTAAGTTCTTCCTCGACACGGCAGTTGAAACCTTCGAGGCTCCGCGCTGGGGATTGCACACCTTCGGCCAGCCTCATCACGCTCGGGTCCGGGCGCTTGGCCCGTGTGGGCCCTTTGCCGTGGACGAGGTGAATTCCACACCCGCAGCAATGCGCAGGTCGCAGAGCCTATAGGCTGGGTCCAGAGTGCGGGTGAATTAGCACTTCTAGGTTAGGGTTGAAGACCTTTTTTTTCAGAGAAGATGCTCTGCTGCGCACTGTGTGCTGCATGGCAACCGTGAGCGAGCGGCAACTCTTCCTGCCATATCGGCCAGTGAAGAGAGCATTTGCCATGTCATCCGGGTTCTGCCTCTCACTGTGCCACAGATGTGCAGTTTCCTCCATCGTGCTATAAATCTGGGCTAGGACGGTTAGGACTCCTTGGTGAGTGAATGCTTGGCTTGCAACACGTGTTTGGCTGCCACATCGGCCAGTGAACAGAGCATTTGCCATGTCATCCGGGTTGTGCCTCTGACTGTGCTACAGATGTGCGGTCTCCTCCATCGTGTTATAAATCTGGGCTAGGACCCCTTGATGAGTGAATGTTAGGCTTGCAGCACGATGCAGCACCCATTTGGCTGCCACGTCGGCCAGTGAAGAGAGCATTGTCGCTTATCCGGGTTCTGCCTCCCACTGTGCTACAGATGTGCAGTCTCGTCCATAGCGCTTTTAATCTGGGATAGGACTCCTTGATGAGTGAATCTTCGGCTTGCAGCACGCGGTTGGCTGCCACGTCGGCCAGTGAAGAGAGCGTTGTCGGTTATCCGGGTTTGCCTCCCACTGTGCTACAGATGTGCAGTCTCGTCCATAGCGCTTTTAATCTGGGATAGGACTCCTTGATGAGTGAATCTTTGGCTTGCAGCACGCGGTTGGCTGCCA